TAACATATATATTTATTACCTTTTTTACAATAATAATGAAAATTTAAATATATTATGGTTTTTTAAAAAACCTTAAAAGGTTTTAAATTATATTTTAAAGAAGGAAAGAGGAATTGGATGGGTTGGGACTTTCCAAAAATACAGTTGAAATAGCTTGGTGGTCAAAGATGCTTGTTTTCAATCCCTGGGCTCTGGGTTTACATCCTGTCACTCCAAGGGTTACCTCCCCACCCCATGTCTAAAACAAGTTCCACTACCTAATTACAGAATTAGTTTCTAAAGAATTTTTCCCCCGTTTGGCAAGTTTTTGTACTTGCTGTTGGATGTGTGTAAAAGGAAGAAAAGTCTATTCTTTCATTTTTCACTTGAGACATTATTGCATGAACATTTATAAAAGATAAAAAAATGTGTGACCTGATTTACTAATTTATTTAGCATTTATCCCAAAAATGTAAAGTAAAATGCAAAAAGTAAATTATGTAATATCAGTAACCATTATAGCTATATACACAACAAACAACATTATTGTTTAGGGTGTTTATAAACGTAATAATATAACTTTTTTTTCCATAAATGTTGAAATTGTATGCATGTCATTTAATTATTTAATAAATAGAAAACAAATACAAAACTTCTAAACAGAACACTTCAGGCCCATATAAATTTATACTTCCTTAAGTTAAAGGAAGTACACTCTTTAAAACGTTAATATTTTAAATAAATACTGTATGGGTAGCATGTGTAGATAATTAGTTGGAATTTAATGAATTATCACTTCCATATCTAAGTTTCAAGGAATCAGTTTTTAAGCACGTACCAACACGGAAGTATATGTTTTATGTTGTTTGGTAAACAGTTTTAAATATTATGGTCTAAAATTTATATTATGGCCAATACTTTCATATTGACCCGTACCAACTGTAATTTTGAGGCAGCATTTGGTATTTGCATATCAAATGTGATGAAATCACATGCAAAATGCCAACAACCATAAACTGTGTAGGTAATAATGTAGATATTTTTTGCTTAGTTTACTAAGTCAAAAAAATTTCCCATAAAACCAAGGTTTTAAAAGCAGGTCATTTTTCTTATGTTTATGGTTTAACTCCTATCTCATACACTCAACGACAGTTACAGTTAGTCCCAGATTTAGCGTAAAAAGAAACTGTTCCTATACAAAAAATAACCAAATGCAAAAATAAGATTATTATGATTATATTTTATATGGATTACACATTACTTCTCCACGACCACCAACACTAAAACTTGATAGGATTCTACCATCAAGTAGTCATTTATATACTGTAATTATATTGTTCACATGCTTTTATTATCACTGAGAGACCACTTTAGCATACTTTGACAACTATGTTTCAATTCTGCTTCACTGATTTTAGGTTGTGGTTCCTTTGTGTTCAATCGTTGTCGTTAATTATTTTTTAGTTACTGACCAGTACCAATTGCAGTTTTTCTATATTATAGCATTAGGTATTTCCAGTATGTGACGAAATCATATGCAAAATACTAACACCTATAAAGTGTTTGTTGAAATATTCTCTAGCAATGTTTTTGCTTATTTTGAAATAGTGTTCTTCAGACATACGATTACCAATTTAAAACATTGTGAAAATGATGTTCTATGCTCTTATATGATGGTGGCTTCCATCTCATATGAACAGAAACATAATTACATTATTACTCTTTTTATTTTTTAAATTGTGAGGATGGGAATTTTTTTTTTTTTTTTTTTTTTGGAACAACAGAATATTGTTGTTTTTTATATATATTTTAATCGATAAATGAGAAACTGTTTATATTTGGCAAGACATATTAGATTATAAAAACTGGTATAATTTTATAGTTTTTTAAAGAAAATGTATGTATTTCCAGTCACAAATTTGCATTGTTTTTAATGACTGTTAAAATAAATGAAAATGAAAATTCCCGCATAAATATTTCCCAAGGGAGTGATAATCTAACATATTTTTCCATGTGCCCTAATGAACAGTAGTCTCAGTAGTAGCAGCGGTGGTGCCAGAAATTTGCAGACATTCGGACAAGGGGTCCGAAGCAAGGCGGCTCGGACTAATAAAAAAAATCCTGGTTAAGGTTCATAGGGAGAGATTAATTTGGTCCCAAGTGTGCTTTTAGACCACAATAGGGATTGGCAATCAATATAGCATTATTTGGATAGGCAAATTATTTTTTTCCCCCATTTTTGGGTTGTCGGACGACAGGGCCTGGGCAGAGGCATATCTAGAAGTCTTGAAATTGGAGAGCTGATGGGGGTGGGGATGCAAGGGTAAAGGGGGCTCGATGATCAATTGAAGGGTGCTAGTTTGCAAAATATGGTGATTTTAGGATTTTTAACAACTTGACCGTGATCTTTTTGAAGAGAGCAACTGGGGGAGATGTGCGCCCCCGCGGCCTCCGCTATATGAGGCATTTTGTGGCGAAATGGTAAAGTTGTCGCACAGTCCAGTATTGAGTAAATGAGCTATAAAATATGGGAGCTCAAAAAATTGCTAAAAAATCCAAATTTGTTTTTTACTATAGGTCAACAGGTTAATGTCTTATTAATCATGTCTCAAAGTATTAGTTCTGGAAGTGGTTAACAAATTGTTTATTTAACGTTATTTTTCATAGTTCATTATATTAAACAATGTATGCGCAAATACCTTTGAAAGGCAATTACTCAAAATCCTGTTTATCTTGACTCTAAGAGTACTGTACTTTCACTTTCCAATAACTTTGGTTTGAAATGTCCAATTTGAATGAATGACCCATCATTGTAAAGATGACATACGGTATTTGAAAATACCAATAAGTTGAATTTCAATTTTTGCTACAACTTAGCCATTTTGCCACAACATGCCTCATATACGCCACTAGGCACAGGGGGTGGGAGGGGTGGCCAGATCTGTCCGACGGGGGTAAATTCTCCTGGCCGGCTGGGGGAGGGGCATCCTGTTAGTAGGATATTTCAAGCAGATAAAGAGGTGAGCAGCGGCACCACCCAGGTTAGCACTGTAAATACTGCCTCGCCTAGCCTGTGCCCTGGCCTGCGATCTATGAATCATAGTACTGTATTAACAAAAACAAATGCGTACTTACTAGAAAAATAATGCGTCTATAATTATGCTGCAGATAACGTCATAAAAATAGGACCAGATGATCTCTTTATTAGAATCGCCTACGATTGCTGAGACTACACACACAGTCTGTTTGTGTACACCGAAAATTTACTGTCTTTGTAAGCGTGCAGGCTCTTGAGTTATTACCAAAGATCTTTATCAGGATCTTGGGTGAACCAAAACTTTTGATGTGAACCAAAGATCTTGGTGTGAACTTCCTGGGAAGAGAGGGCGACACACAAGTAATTGTGAACATCATACTATCCTAGCTCTATGATCCTTGTCACAAAATTAATTTAAATTCATTGGAATGAGAACATCATTAGCAATTCATGTCACCAGTAATTAAATGATGATGAAGTTTTGCATGATTAACAATTAAAACAAATCATGTAAAAATATTTATGTTTGTTAATAAAATTTAGACTTTTAAATAAGTTACAGCTTTCCGAAAAACAAAACAAAACAACAAAATGTGTATATATTGTCAAAATATCGAAGAAAACAAATAAAAAGGCAATGCTATAAATTTTCCATTCACTAGTATGCCGTAAATCACAATTTTCAACCACTATTAAAAAGCACAACCTATACAAAGAAATTATTGACAATATGACGACATATATAGCGAATTCAGATTTCTCAACGCATCCAAACAACTTTGATAAATTTTGATAGCAAAATAGTTTACATCAAATGCTGAGAACAAATTATATCAGTCCAGGTGGATGCATGTGATTACTGATGGGGTTAAGGTAGGCCTGGCTTATAACCTATTTGTAATTATTTAGCGATGTGTTTTTTACAACCAAAAAACCCCTCTAAATTGTATACAAAGCAATGCATGAATGAATAAACATTCGTATGAGACTGTGGGTTGTTGTCTGTTATGGAAATTCTAAAAAGTTTATTGCTGCCTTTATCTCGGATCATGCAGGTATTATAGTAAACCACGGTATAATATCTCTATCGGACAAACAGTCTCCCATGAAATTTTACTTTCCAAAAACGAAGTGAATATTGAGGCATAATGCCACTCTTTTTTTATAGATGCTTCGTTCGTGAAGCCAAGTAAATGTGTATAACAGTATACTGAATATAAACGAATTAATCAAACTACTTTCAGCAACTAATACATTTGGCGCAAACATAAGCGAATGGGTGTCAGACCAACGCTTCTCCAACGCCGATAAAGGTTTTGAATGAAGAACAATTCACATCTTCATTGTGCATGGAATTTCACACGGGAAAACACATCGTCAAAAAAAAAAAAAAAAAAAAATCTTAACTTAAATAGTACCGTACCGTATAAAAAAAAAAAAAATCTTAACTTAAATAGTACCGTACCGTATAATGAGCTAATTTGGGCAAATGACCTAAGTGCTTCTATTTGTATAAAAATAAAAGTATAAATTAATTGGAATGTTACCAATGCCTTGTACAATCTGAAAGATATGAAGAATATCGGCCATTCGTCTGCGATAAACTTTAAGGTGATAGGGAAGATTGTTAAATTCCTTAAACAACCGTTTAAACTGAACCTTTTTTCGAGATCTTTTTAAAATTTGGGTTGGTAAACAGTATTGCAATATTATAAGGTGGGTCTAAAGATAACTTTGTTTAATTTCATTAATCCCTTAGAATTAAAAGAAAATCGAAAAGACCGATTGTTCATGCCTAATTTCGTCTTTGCTCGTTCTGAAATGTCCCCAACATGATTAACAGAACTTAAAAATTTGAATCGAACCTCACTCCCAAGTCCTTCTCCGATTTAACAAATTCAAGTTCCCCGCACCATTAATAAAATATGACAAATTAATTTGCATGATTAACAGAACTTAAAAATTTGAATCGAACCTCACTCCCAAGTCCTTCTCCGATTTAACAAATTCAAGTTCCCCGCACCATTATAAAATATGACAAATTAATTTGCATTTGTACCGAAATGAATTACTTTATATTTAATTTTCCCTGCGTAGACGAGCGAGTGTGAAATATATATTAATTGAAGAAGGAGATGATAGCTGCCCTCTATAATATGTGAAGACCTCAAATTTTATGGATTTTTCCCATATCGATTCCTAAGTTTGAAAACAAGGTTTTACGTAGATTATATTACTTTCTACACCCATGCTCTAGATATACCTCCCTCATTCGAAATATAACAGAAATAAGACAAGTATATATTATTTATGAGCACGCTTAATATAAACACACTGTCACATTGCTCTTGTAATTACCTGCCAGTAGAATATCTTTGATTAAAATTGCCATTTGTCATACAAAATAAATAAAGTATACAACTAGGAATAGTATATCAAAACGAGATGTCCCACAAATACAGGCTTTTTGAGCAATCAACATTCCACCAGCATCTGAGTTGCCTGTTCCATCGTCGTGGTACAAAATTATATTCACTAACATTAATTTTCTATATAGAGCAAGGTATTAACTTTTAATTGAATATTAGAGCAATTAAATATTTTCTGTTCTTTGACCTTCATTTAATGTATGTACAATCTCGGAATTCTTCAAGAATCCCTTCAAGGTGGCTTTTTTTTTAATACATTTGCAAACCAATGAGAGTTTCTACGAGATGGGCTTCTTCTCCAGGTTAAGTCCACTGTGCTTCTCTAATATTTTATTTTTATTTCGATTTGTAGCTTTCCGAAAAACTGTGTTCAATTGTCAACTTAAAGCAAACAAATGAAAATACAATACATTTTCCATTCACTATTATATATGTATCATCCCTGTCAATTGCAATATTAAAAAGTACAATAAACAAGAAAATGTTTTTCGTAGTCCCAATTGGATTGGATTGGATTTTCGCACTCACAGAAATTTATATTCCAGTCTATGAAATCAATGCTTCAAGCAAATTAGAATAATTTAATCTTATGCCTTTTGGCAGAACAGATACATTAATATAATATTTATCATATTGACTTTAAATTTAGCCATAGCCATATTAAAAATTGTATTACATAAAGACATATGAGGACGTAGGCCTACTGCAAGAGTTCAGTATGAAACAACTAAATACAAAAGTAATAAAACTACATCCAATACATAACTTTATAGTAATGTATCAGTTACTGCAAACTTTATTGCAATCATATTATAAAAGAAAT